CGCAGAAGGCCCTTGAAGCCTCTGCCGAGGTGCGGGTACGGGGTTCGCACGGCCGAAGGCTTTGGGTTCAGAGCATTTCGGGGGGTTTACGAAAAGGATTCCCTTCTAAAAAAGGACCTAAAAGAAGGTACCCCCCCCTAATTTCGGATAAGCCCCCCGTTGGGTTCCAGGGGCCATAGTCTATCGGGTTTCGAGGCCAACGTCTTTCGGGTTCCAAAAAGCCAAAGTCTATAGGGTTTCAAGGCCAACGTCTATAGGGTTTAGAGGGTTGAGGGTCTAGTAGGGGATTTCAGTTGGTTTTGATCTAGGAGGCAGAATTCGGTGGACAGCCCTCATGGGCAAGAAGCCGCAGCATGGATTTCGGAATCGGTTTCGCGTTCTGGGGTTTAGGGTTTAGGGCTTTAGGGTGTGGGGGTTTGGGGTTTAGGCTTTTAGGATTTGGGGTTTAGGGTTTGGGGTTTGGGGTTTAGGGTTTATAGGGTTTATCGCGTTTATAGGGTTTATAGCGTTTATAGGGATTAGGGTAGGGCGTTTAGGGGTTTAGGGGTTTCGGGTTCTTGGTTGCACCAGCTGCGTCCAGGTTCTACGAGAGCTCAATGGCAGCGAGGATAAGTGACTCGCAAGCAGTCCAGTCCAGCGCCGAAGTTTGTGCGTTCGGCCTGGGGGTCGAGGGGGTTGAGTTGAGGATTTAGGGTTTAGGGTTTAGGGGGTTTAGAGGGTTTAGAGGGTTTAGGGGGTTTAGAGGGTTTAGGGGGTTTAGGGGGTTTAGCTGACGGATTCCCGAGTCTGCGAGAGAGAGAGAGAGAGAGAGAGGGTTTAGAGGGTTTAGAGGGTCTAGAGGGTTTAGAGGGTTTAGAGGGTTTAGAGGGTTTAGAGGGTTTAGAGGGTTTAGAGGGTTTAGAGGGTTTAGAGGTTTTAGAGGGTTTAGAGGGTTTAGAGGGTTTAGAGGGTTTAGAGGGTTTAGGGTGGAGGCGGAGGGGGGGGGGGGGGGGGCGAAAGCCCTAAGTGAAGCCAAACAGGAAGAAAGAGCCCTCAACCCTAAGCCCTGACTCCCAAACTCCCCATTGTAAAGAGGACCCCTCCAAAAATGGGACTCGGCCAGAACGCCGAAACCTCAACTGCCCTCCAGTGGGAAAAAACAATATCACATAAGAATATATATGGGGTTACGATAGTCAGGGACCCCCAACATAGACCCCAAATCGTCGGATCCCCTTGCAATCAGGACCCCAATAAGGCACCGCAAAGTCGTAAACCCCCCATATGAGAACATATAGATTTACTACAATCTAACAGTCACAATCTAAAACCCCTAAACCCTAATACCCTAAAACCCTAATACCCTAATACCCTAATACCCTGCAATATAATCGTCACACTCCAACAACATAACAAGAGAATACCCTCCAGTTCAGGTACTTCCTCCATGTCCAGGGCCACCTGGAAAGGTGGCACTCCAGGGTGTGTTGTGCAAGGTTGTGAGCTTTGGGGTTCCTAAACCCTAAACCCTAGCCCTAAACCCTAAACCCTAGCCCTAAACCCTAAACCCGAAACCCTAAACCCTAAACCCTAGACCGGCATAGGAGATGCGGTTTAGGGTTGGGAAATTTTAGGGTCTAGAGGGCTCGGTGGGATGAAGGAAGCCAAAAGATCTGGAGCATTAGGGTTTTACGCTGTTCTTAAGCAAATTTTAGTTTAGGGTTTAGGGTTTAGGGTTTAGGGTTTAGGGTTTAGGGTTTAGGGTTTAGGGTTGGTAGGCTTTGTGAGCTTGACAGCTGCCACATCCTTTGGACAGATCCGTCGAACATCCGTCTGCAGCGCTGCCCTAGCACGTTCTGAAGCTTTGGAGTTTAGGGCCGTGGGGTATAACGCAAGCCACTGTTCCTTGTAAGCACGCTAGGGCGGGGCAGGGTTTGACCAGCGCCATTATGATGTATTTGGGCTGCCATGGTAGGACGTCTTGTACAGTAGTCACTATGGGCTAAACCCTATACACACTAAACCCTTATCATCTTCCTAAACCTTAAGAAAACCAGACCCTGTAAACCCTACACACGTTAGCGTTTATTATTCTACACCCCATACCGGCAACCCTAGACCCTACAGACCCTAAACACCCTAAGCCCTACGCCTACCTCTAACCTCTAAACCTCTAAACCTCTGAACCCTAAACCTCTAACACTAAACCATAAAACCTTTTAAACCCTAAACCTCTAAACCCTAAACCCTAAACCCTAAAACTCTAACCCTAAACCCCTGCAAGGCTCTCGGCGGCGTACGCTGACCACCTGGCATCTGAGACCCAGGGTCAGGGCTACGTGCGCAGCAGTGCGACCTAGGGTTTAGGGTTTAGGGTTTAGGGTTGAAGGGTTTAGGGTTTTGGGTTTAGGGTTTAGGTTTATGGGTTAGGGAGTTTGGAGTTTAGGGTTTAGGGTTTAGGGTTTGGCTTATGGAGCTTATCCGGGTTTATGGCTTGTAGTGATTATGGGGTTTACGAGGTTCATGGGGTCTAGAGGGCTCATGGTGCTTGTGATACCCCATGTCGCAGCTCCTGCAGAGTTGGAAGGGGAAAAAGGCATGGGCATCGGTCAATAGGATGTTCCCAGGCGTGGGGTTATCCGTGGCAGAGAGGACAGAGCAATCTAGCTCTACCGAACACTGGCGAGCAAGCATGGCGAGCAGATTTGACCTTCACGTAGACCTGTAGGTGTACACAACTGCTTCTTGAGTGATTTTCTATTCACATGCTGGGTTTACTTTCCGAGAACTCCCGCACCGCTAGACTGGGATCTTATTGTGGATCTGTTTCAGCAACTTTGCAAGATCTCCGAACTGGCCAAGAATGACGAGTAGGTTCAGCAGTAGCCTTTCTAGAGCATGTTGGCCCTCCTCAAGTAGCAGCAATCACCCCACCCACCCACCCCCTCCCCCCAAACATTGTTTAGGGAAGAGCTGCGGGGGTAAGAAATCGGCCTGCAGCCCTAGATAGTGCCCTGAGCTCCACAAGCGAACCATGCGAACACCCTTTCCAAGGCCCTCAAGATTGCCCTACCTGCATGGGCTATTATACCCTCTAAGCCCTGAAAAGGCCCTTCATAGGGTTGCTTAGGGGGATTAGAATATCTAAACCCTAAACCCTAAACCCTAAACCCTCGAAGCCCTAATAGCCCATGCTGGTAAAGCCTGGTATGCCCCAAGCTGCAAAGCCCCAAAGCCGTTGAGCGCAGGCTTCTTCAGCCGCGCTGTGTGGGAGCTGCCGCCACTGGAGGCTTTAGGGTTTAGGGTTTAGGGTTTAGGGTTTAGGGTTTAGGGTTTAGGGTTCCTTGAACCACGAAAAACATAGAGGTTCATGGAGATTGATACGTAGGGTTACAAGTAGCACACGCAGAGAGCCCGCTGTCCCACGCTCAACTCCACCCATAAGCCTCAACCCTACCTTGAGAACCCCAAACCTACCTTTGTGTAGGTTCCCCAAGAATCCTACAAGGGGTTTTATACCAAACAAGAGCAGGTTTTGGGTTCTTCAATGCGAACCCTAAACTGCAAACCCTAAACCTGAAACTTCTTTCCGACACCCCAGCATGACAACCTCAGGGAAAATCCCTGAACCCTAAACCCTAAGCCCTAAACCCTAAACCCTAAACCCTAAGCCCTAAACCCTAAACCCTAAACCCTAAACCGTGACCGAGGCAGCGCCAACGGACTGGTGGGCGAAGCGGACGAACGACGCTAGGTGGGGCTTTTGGTGTGGGGGTGCTGCTTCGGCGGTGTTGGGTTTTACGCTCTATCTATCTGTATATATGTATATATATATATATATATTATTTATTTCTTTATTTATTTATTTCTTTATGTATTTTTATATTTATATCTATGTATTTGTTTATTTTATTTATTTATTTATTCCAACACACACACACATATATATATATATATGTAATACATTATTTATTATTTAACGGGCGTGTATAAGCTTTCAATAGAGTTTTATGAGGCTGTTGCATAGGTTTACGTAGGGCCTATATGGGGTTTATGGAGCTTGTATAACGCTTATCAGGGCTTACAGGCCTCAGGTGCTTTAGGGAGTAACTGGTAGGCCTCGAACAAAAGGCCAGTTGTAAAAGCTCCAGTTCCTTTCTTGGGTAGTAGAGCCCGTATTTCAATCACAGTACATGGGTCTCCAAAGCAGGAGCATGATCTTGAGAACTAGCCCCAGTTCCAGGTTCAAGACAGGTGATGTAGGGTTTAGGGCTATGGTTCCTAAGCCCCAACATCTCATCCGCCGTGAATTTCTGAATTGCAACTCACAACTTCCTCCAAACCCCCTTCCCAAAACTTCGGCCAGGAGTCATAGGACTTCCTATTGCCCCTCCCACCCACTCCCCCCTTCCCCTACCTCCCCGAATTCTAAGCAGCCTCTTCGAGGGAAGCGGGGGGGGGGTGAGTGGGAGGGGCAATTTCTGGACACCCTTCATTGTATTTCTGTCGGTGGTACAGTTGGTGTTCAGCAGCAGGAGATATCATGGCTAGTCAAGAAACTCGTTGGTGAATTTGTTGGATTTGTACTGTATGTATGTATCTATGTATGGTTGTACTGTATGTATGCATCTATGTATGATTGTACTGTATGTATGTATCTATGTATGATTGTACTTTACTGAATATTATAGTAGGTGTTTCACTTTGAATCGTACAAGGAAGTCTTGTAGGTCCAATGCTAGCGAAATTTTCCTTGGTGCATGAGGATAGGCGCTCCTCTATACTTCAAGGTCCCGTCACACGATGCTTCGCAATTTGATGGATCAAGCCTTCGGCTTGTTCTTAGCCACAGAGGGCTGAGTACCCCCAGTCAGCGGATTTAGGGCCTGAACCCTAAACCCTAGCCCTAAACCCTAAACCCCAAACCCCCAAAAGGAGCTAGAATGGGGGGCATCTAGGAGGGGTGGCGCCCGAACTTGGAGAGCCTCAGTGAGCCTTAAGCGGCCTCACGCTTGGAAACCATGGTGGTGACCATTGCTTCCGTGGACATCGTCTATGTCATCTCTTCTATGGAGGCTTGTGGCTTGCTTACTGTGTAGGATTTAGGGTTTAGGGTTTAGGGTTTAGGGTTTAGGGCTCCTCGAGTTTCAGGGGGAGCGTATTCTCTTGCTGGGGGCTTAGGGCTTAGGCTTGAGAACGAGATTTCCGGATGTAAGCTGCCAAGGAAAGCAAGCTAGTCAACCTCCAGATCCCCTGAGCCCTTCACTCGCAACACGGGTTTAGGGTTTAGGGTTTAGGGTTTAGGGTTTAGGGTTTAGGGTTTAGGGTTTAGGGTTTAGGGTTTAGGGTTTGGGGTTCCGGCCCTGGAGCCCCAAAACCCTTCAACCATCTTCAGCCCTTCAACCCTTCAACCATCTCAAAACACTTTCAAACCCTAATTCCCTCCCCAGAACGCCCCAAAACCTAAACCCTAAACCCTAAGCCCTAAGCCCTAACCCTAAACCCTAAATCCTAAACCCTAAACCCTAAATCCTAAACCCTGAACCCTAAACCCTAAACCCTAAACCCTAAACTCCCTGGAGTGCCAGGTCTCGCGGCCGGAGATGCTCCGGGCGACGCCGGCCTACCGGGTTCTGCAGGGCTGCGGCCAGGCCTTCGAGCTCGTTGTAGGGTTTAGGGCTTAGGGCTTCGGGTTTAGGGCTAGGGGTTTGAGCGCCTTCGAGCTCGTTTCAGGGGCTAGCGGGTTGTGGAGGGGTAAACGCTTTCAGGTTTGGGGTGGAGGCTGTTTCGGGTGGAAGGGTTTTGGGATGCTCGACCGACTCTATCAGCAACAGGGTTTAGGGTTTAGGATTGAACGGGTTGAGGGTTTACAATTTCGGATTGAAGGGGTTTTAGGGTTTGGCAGGGTTTAAGGGCTTAGGGTTCATTAGGAGGTTTTGGGGTTTGGGGCGTATACGGGTTGTGGATAAGAGGGTTTAGCTTGAGGGTTGTAGGGTGTATAAGGTTTGTGGTTGTCAGGGTTTGGGAAGGTCATGTCCCTCAGTATCCGATAGACCCCTTGTTGAAGCTACACCTGGGAGCTCCCCAAACAGAGAGAGAGAGAGAGAGAGTGTGTGTGTGTGTCTCGCAGCAGCCAAGTGTATGGGCTTTAGTGGTTTGCACGGCTTAATTGCACTCCTTAATGTTTCCTTTGAGCCTTTCTAGTTTGTTTGTTTTTTTATTTTTTTTTTTTTTTTTACGAGGGTTGACTTGGAGTCTCAGATTCTCGGACTTGATGTTAGGGCCGTTAGGGTTTAGGGTTTGGGGTTTAGGGGTTAGGGTTTAGGGTTTGGGGTTTAGGGTTTAGGGTTTAGGGTTTGGCAGGTGCTCCGGGAGAAGGGGATGCCAAGCGCAAGATGCTACTACGACTTGAGCTACGAGGCGGGAGCCGCTGTTTGGATTTTGATTTAGGATTAGGGTTTAGGGTTTCGGGTTTAGGGTTTAGGGACACTTCTCTTGTGTTTCGGGTGTATAAAGTGTTCAGGATGTAGGTAGGGATGTGTGTAATTTAGCGATGCTCCACGCCCGTCTCGGGCTCGTGAATTGCGTGGAATCGCAGAACGGAAGTTTGGCTTCAGAGTAGGAACTCTCCGTCGGTCACAAACCCAGTGTGGGATCCATGGCGGCACGCTTCTGTGTTGTGTGGTTCCCGTATCATCCCCCTTGAGGAGTTTTTCGCCCAAGCTACTTTGGAACTCAGCAGAACAAAGTAATCAAGACACAGAAAAGCAGTCAAGCGAATCCTTCCCCAGTCTCCCTGTAGACCTCTCGCATCCCAGAGGAAACATGCCTGAAAACATAAATCATCGCGCCACGTTCGTTGGGCTGATCCAAGAGTTTGGAGCAATATGCTCAGGTTCGTGTTTTGCTTGGAGAGGGGCACTCGTCTTTCTCAAGCTCGTCTTTCTGCCCCAGAAGAATCGGCGCTCGAGCCCCAAGACGTCGGAAACATCATAGCCATTTTGCAGCTGGTCCCCTTCGTGGGCTGTTCCGTGGGCACGTGTGCGCCGTGCGACTTTTTTGTCAGGGTCAGAATATATAAGCACGGGGACCTCAACCAAGCAACATAAGTCATATTCTTGCGAATCCCAAAGTCATAAGACTCATAAGACAAAATCCCCTTCTTTAGGGGGGCTTTCGGGGTACGAGTTTCTGGGGCTGTACATAGGGCTTTGGGGTTCAGGTTCCCGAGATTGACGAGTTCTGGTCTCACAGCTGGCACGGGGAAGCCCATCGCAAGATTCTCTTGCTCCTGCTGCTCAAGAATCTCGGCGGGCGCTTTGGGTGGTGATCTACATATTTCCCCTTTGGGGTGTTTGGGTTTAGGGTTTAGGGTTTAGGGTTTAGGGTTTAGGGTTCAGGGTTCAGGGTTTAGGGTTTAGGGTTTAGGGTTTAGGGTCTCTCAGCTGCTTTCAAGCGCAAGAGGAAAGGGCCGGCAGCCGTGCTGGTGGGCACCATGGGTGCGCTGGTGATGACGCTCGGCCGCCGCGTGGGGGGGGGCATCGCTTCACTTGAAGGGCTTAGGGTTTAGGGTTTGGGGTTTAGGGTTTAGGGTTTAGGGTTTAGGGTTTAGCCAGCCCGGAACCCCGAACCCTAACTAGGCCACGAAGGCCCTCTATCAGACTCCCAAGGCAATGTTGCCAAAGACCGGTTTGAGGCTCCTAAACCCTAAACCCTAAACCCTAAACCCTAAACCCTAAACCCTAAACCCTAAACCCTAAACCCTAAACCCTAAACCCTAAACCCTAAACCCTAAACCCTAAACCCTAAACCCTAAACCCTAAACCCTAAACCTAACTTTGCAACTTCGACCCAAGAGGGAACTGTTGATGATCAGGGACCCCTTATGGTAGAGACCCCAAGTGAAGAGGACCGAATGAAGACCACACTCTAAGGTACCCGGTACCCCCTATAATGTCGGGCCCCAGCCCCCCGCCCCCCCCCCCCCCCCCCCCCCCCCCCCCAAAAAAAAAGAAAGACAACACACGACGTCGTATCGACTTGTTGGGCCCCCTGAGCTTTACGATATATCGAGGGTTCAGGAAAGGACCGCGCAATTGCATCGCCAAAGTCAACCAAAGCCAACCCGGCGACCTGCATCAATCCTACTGTTTTTTTTTTTTAAACCTTGAGCTCTGAACCCCCGAGGATGCTCTTGCAAGTTGCGGACGTCATTCCCGGCTTCTACAAGAAGCCCCCGCTTCTGGGAACGGGCGTGGCCTACGAATTCGGGCCTTACTCGCTGCTGGTGGGGAGTCTCTGCCCCAGTTCTTTACGATCTTCTGTTTAGTTAAATTGCGGTTTGGGGTTTGGGGTTTAGGGTTTAGGGTTTAGGGTCCTAAACCCTAAACCCTAGACCCTTCAGGGTAGCCCCTCCTTCCAAACAGAGGCTTAGGATTTCCGTAGTGCGCAGATGATTCTGCCGCGAAGCTGATCCTCTCCCGGAGTTGCTGTGGCATAGTATACTACGCTGCACTAGCTCATATTCATAGTAGGCAAAGCTGCTGTACACAATGCTATACTCTGCTTCAATGCTAAACCCATACCATACTGAATCCATACTCTCTATACCATATTCGCCTCAGTTTATTTCTCATAGACATATTCCCCCTCATCTTATCTTTGCTCTAGACCATGCGGATGCTAGACTTTATTCCTCAGGATCGGGCTCTGCTGTCTTACGTTGCTGCTCTGGCGTCCGCGGCAGGCCGTCTTTCTGGATCAGATCTGCACTTCGATTATGTTAAGAAAGAGTTTCGGGTTTGGTTTTTAGGCTTGCCAGCGCCAAGACAAACTTTTGGGGTTTGGGGTTTCTCGGTAAGCCTCCTCCTGCTGTTGTGTGTCTGATCTGAAGCAAACGGCCAAACTGCACGATCGGTACTTTCCAGGGTATCCGGTTTCGTCCCTTCCCCCAAGAGAGCGCAATTTAGACCCGACCCTCTCTCTCTTCATGGATCCGAAGTATGATGCTTAGGGTTTAGGGTTTAGGGTTTAGGGGGTTTAGGGCTTAGGGTTTATTTAGGGTTTAGGGTTTATAGGGTTTCAAGGTTTAGGGTTCATGGATCCGAAAGAGGACCCAAAAGATGATGCAAGCAACTGCTGAGGTATCCACCAGCATGATGGCACCCTGAAGATGGAGGGCATCCTGAACATCGGGGCGATCATGAAGAAGCCCGACTTTTGCTAAGCGCAGTGTGGCTTCACCCTAAACCCTAGACCCTAGACCCTAAACCCTATACCCTTTACCCTATGCCCTACCACTAGTACCTCGGTATCCGGAAGCGAGTCTGGGGCGCAGGTATTGAAGAAGCCGGTCTTTATTCTGAAGCCCTTGCAAAGAACCCCCCTCAGCCACCGAGAGGGCATGGGTTTAGGGTTTAGGGCTTAGGGCTTAGGGCTTAGGGCTTAGGGCTGAGGGCTTAGGGTTTAGGGTTTAGGGTTTAGGGTTTTAGGGTTTTAGGGTATCTTCTTCAATGCAGCTCCACCAGCCTTTGACCTTAACTCCCCAAACCGAGTTCTGCCCTAAGCCTTAAACCCTAAACCCTAAATCCCAAACCCTTTCTGCCCTAAACACGAATCCCTAAACCCTAAAACCCTAAAACCCTAAAACCCTAAAACCCTAAAACCCTAAAACCCTAAAACCCTAAAACCCTTAACCCGAAACCCCACTAAAACCCTGAACCCTAAGGGGCAGGAGCCCGTTCTACACTGCACCCTACAACCCTAAAACCCGAAACCCTGAGCCCTCAAACCTAAACCCTAAGGGGCAAAAAGTCCTTTCTGCCCCAAACACTAAACCCTAAACCCTAAAACCCCAGACCCTAAACCTCAAAAACCCTAAAGCCCTAAAACCCTAAACCTTAAGGGGCAAAAAGCCCTTTCTGCCCTGAACACTGGTGACAAAAGCAAAGGAAGTCGCGCTCCCTCCTGGTGCTTTGGGACCAGACCTACGTGGAGAGGCTCGGTGTAGGGTTTAGGGTTTAGGGTTTAGGGTTTAGGGTTTAGGGTTTAGGGTTTAGGGTTTAGGGTTTAGAGTTAAGGGTTTAGGACTCAGGCTCCCGGATGCAAGAGGGTTTAGGCCCAGTTTAGGCGTTAGGGTTTAGGGTTTAGGGTTCAGGGTCTAGGGAGATCCCCCGACTGCGTGGTGTTGAGAGGAAAGGTGCTTCCTGCTAACCCTAAACCCTAAACCCTAAACCCTAAACCCTAAACCCTAAACCCTAAACCTTTGTTTGGTTTTGGGATCCTTTGGGATGTTGCAGTCCCTCAATACCCTACACCCTAAACCTTAAACCTTAAGCCCTAAACCCTAAACCCCTAAACCCTAAACCCTAAAGCCCCGCTTATTTCGGGTCCCTAATCTAGGGAACTGACCGTGGTAGAGCTTCTGGCACGGAACGAAGAGCCTGACACAGAAAGGCCTCGAAACAGCCCCAGAGCCCTTGCATTCGACACAGTTTAGGGTTCAAGGTTTAGGGTTTAGGGTTTAGGGTTTAGGGTTTAGGGTTTAGGGTTTAGGGTTTAGGGTTTAGGGTGTTCCCCCGAATACTAGCAGTCCAGAAGGGATTCTAGTACCCCCTAGTAAGGACTCTTTAAGCGGGGGAGCACCCCAATGGAAACCACTTTCCTCTGCCGACTGTGGGGGGGTTCCATGCACCAACTCTACCACCTGAACTGCACAAAGCCTAGACCCTAATCCCTAAACCCTAAACTACAAACATTTGCCCTAATGTTGGAATGTTCCCCCTTTTGCTGACAGTCCTGAATAGGAATTATAATAAGGGGTACTAGTATCCCGAGAAAGGACTGTTGGTATAAGGGAAAACTTCCCAACCAGTGCCTAAACCACCGACCCACACACACATTTTTGAGATGCCCGCCAGGCTTTGGTGCATCTTTGAACTGGCGGCTTTCCTGAAGCCTTGCTGCACGTTCATGCCTTTCAACCCTGCATGCTACTCAACCCTAATCCCTAAACCCTCAACCCTCACCCTAAACCCTAAACCCTAAACCCTAATCCCTAAACCCTCAACCCTCAACCCTCGCCGCAATGCCCCGAGCTCTGCACCCATCCCCAACTCCAAACCTTGACCCCAAACCCGCGCTTAGCTGCTCCGATCCCTGAGACAGCACAGGAGATGATCATAAAGGATCTTCGCTATATAGTCTATGATGATACTAATTAGAAGCATGTGTTCTCTTAGTATGTTTAATGTCTTGTTATGGATCCAGCCGCTGAGGAAGGGCCACGAAAGTGAGGAGGCTGAGCCATGGCGCAGCTAGCAACTTTTTGGTTTAACTTGTCTGCGGGCAATTTTAGGGTTGCGATCAGTCGCTAGATAATTTGTGTTACATATATATATATATAGACATGTGTGTATATGTATATATGTGTATATATAAATATACATATACATATACTTTTTTTCAGCATGGGCCTGGTAGTCCGCAGTCGTTTCCCTTTGTTCTTGATCTGGCTTTCTCTGCGCCCCTCTTCCCTGTTCCAGGGTTTGTGCCTGCGCTGAGGAGATTGTGGTGAGGCCCACGTTCCTGGCCCCATGGACGTGCCAGGGGTAGGTTGGAACATATTTTCTGTTTTTGATTATCCCTTAATCCCTAAACCCTAAACCCTAAACCCTTTATAAAGCCATAAAACTGTTATTTTTTCTAGGCCCCCAACACCTACCCCCCAGGTGCTACCTCTTTGCAAGTTGGTGCGTGCCTGGACAAGCACGTTTGGCTGATGGAGTGCTGTCGTCAGGGATGAAGGTTCAGCTGGGATAAGGCTCGTCTTCCTTGAGGACCAAGTGAGCTAACTATAGAAGGGTTGATGGCTCATATACCAATTTAGCAGTACAGGGTGTATGATCCCAGGCTGTTCATTTGGTCCCCAAGATTTGGTCGACATCCAGTGACTGTCAAGTGTTTGCTGCCACTCTTGCATGTACAAAGCCGAACCCACATTTCCTCCCAAGGTACCTAAACCCTAAACCCTAAACCCTAAACCCTAAACCCTAGACCCTAGACCCTAAACCCTAAACCCTAAACCCTAAATCCTAAACCCTAAACCCTAAACCAACCCTAAATCCTACACATGCCGTGTCAAGGTATTCTCATCCTTCGACCTGCTCGTGCCCTACGTGAGCATGATCCCCGTCATCATCAAGTTCGTCCTCATCGCGCCCTGGCCGAAGGTATGTCACAAAACCCTAAACCCTAAACCCTAAACCCTAAGCCCTAAGCCCTAAGCCCTAAGCCCTAAACCCTATAAACCCTAAACCCTAAACCCTAAACCGCAGAGGCCCCTCTCTGGGTTGATTCATCAACCCTTTAGGCTTTTGGGTGTATCGGGTTTATGGGGTTCATATGGCTTAAAGGGTTTACAGGGTTTATAGGGTTCGTAGGGTTTAGAGGGTTCATGGGGTTCATGGGTTTATAGGGTTTACGGTTTCACCCTGAACACCCTCAAAACTGGATCGTCGAGAAGGTTCCTGCGAGCTGCTTCTTGACGGGGATGTTCTGCCGCTACTACCGAGCCATCCAGCACATGCAGGCGTCCGCTGTTGGGGGCCCAAAAGGGTTCAGCGATTTGGGCTTAGGGGCGCAAGGTTGGCTATTGACTTGGGTCTATACAGTATATGTACTTGGAAAGGAAAGCTAGTATATGGGAACCCCTTTAAGGCCCAAGTATGTACCATATAGGTACGTGATTCCCTAGCAATCGGGTTTTTTGACAGTTGTGGGTTTAGGCGAGACAGCGACAGTGGCGCATGGTGGCCGGTGGGGAAGATCTCTTCTTTGTTTGGGCTCCTGTGCCTCCTAATTTCTGATACGGGAGAATGGTTCAGAGGCAGTTTTTCAAGCAATGAAGCTGTGGAGAGGCGAATAACAAAGAGCGGTTCTGCGAGTCAGCGTCTTTCTGGGGGAGCCGAATTTCGATGAGGGTGTCATCTTTATTCAATGTCCCTCAAAATTCTAGACCCCCAAACTCCAAATCCTTTCAACCCTAAACCCCAAACGTCGGGAGCCTCCTAGAAGATCCCAAAAACAAACTACCCAAATCATCCGCGACTGAACAAAGTCCATCAATCGCCTGATTTTCTAAGACAACGATTGTGACTGGTCTTTCGCTCCCTAAACGACCGGGATTGCGATTGAGTTTTAGAAAGCTCTGCGATTGATTGTTAAAAGAGCTTTGGTATTCATTTTTGTTGACCCCCCCCCCCGATTCCACGATTGATTTTCGATGATCCTTGCCTGGTTTTCAAACTAGATCTTTTGCCCTCTGCGTTCTTTCAGGGTTAAGGATTTCCCACACACGATTTTGTTTTAGAGCTTACGCGCTTTGATTTGAGTTGCTGTGCATGATAGTTTTTTCGGTGCTAAAATCATTCGGACGTTCTGAAACGCCAAGACGTGGATGACCTGAACCGCGTTCCCGAAACGCTAACCCCCGGTCTCGACGCAGCGGGCCTGAAACTGTTCACCACCTCAAGGGGTAATCAATGCAGCAGGGACAGCCTGCTGCATGCAACCTGACAGAAACACCTAAACCCGAAACCCTAAACCCGAAACCCTAAACCCGAAACCCATAATTATTCATGAAACCCATTTTCATGAAACCTTCAAGGCTCCCACAAGCTTTTTTGCTCGCACATGCCTGCTGCAAGCGCCATGACCAAACGGATGGGGGGCCCAGGGACTGGACCGTAAAAGGAATGCGCATGTCGACTTTCAAGGTCTGCAGGCGTCATCTAGCAGTCCTAGACTACAACTTGCATAAAACCACCCCCCCAAAAGACACAACATATTCTTCCTGATAAGGGCAATATAGGGATTATGATTATTGCTATATTTTATTAATATTCTTCTTATTCCTATTATTATTATTCGAACTATTATTACGATTGTGTTTTATTCTTTTGGGGTTCTTAAGCAAACAGCAGACAATAAGAAGCCCGGGGGGTTCTTGAGCAAGTACCCTAAACCCTAAACCCTAAACCCTAAAACCTCAACCCTCAACCCTGAACCATGAACCCTGAACCCTAATCCCTAAACCCTAAACCCTAAACCCCACAAACCCTATAAACCCTATAAACCCTATAAACCCCACAAACACTATAAACCCTAAATAAGAAGCCATCAGGATCAGCTGCGCGGTTTCCGCGCAGAGGCTGGCGGCTTCAGCAAGCCATCTTGGAACCTTGTAAGTTTTTGTTGCGTTAGGTGAGTAAGGTTTAGGGTTTATAGGGCTTATAGGGTTTACAGGGGTTTTAGGGTTTATAGGGTTTATAGGGTTTATAGGGTTTATGGGGTTTATAGGGTTTAGAGGGTTTAGAGGGTTTAGAGGGTTTAGAGGGTTTAGAGGGTTTAGAGGGTTTAGAGGGTTTAGAGGGTTTATGGGGCTTTTGGGGTTTTTAGGGTTTGTAGGGTTTATATGGCTTTTAGAGTTTCGGGTTTAGGGTTTAGGGTGTAGGGTTTAGGGTTTAGGGTCACCAAGAGCCCAATAAGTCCGGATGCCCAAGTACCTACGGGCTCAGGGAGCTTCATTCTTAAACCCCAAACCTTTCGCGCCCCAAAGCCGTAAGACCTAAAGCGATTGCCCACCTGGGCCAGAACCCGATAAGCCGCGGCTTTGGCTCGGGGTTCAGGGCTTGGGGCTTGTGGCTTATAGGGCTGCCCTAAACCCTAAACCCCAAATTCAAGGGGCAGCCTTGATCCTAAACCCTAAACCCTAAACTGCCCTAAACCCTAAACCCTGTAGGACGCAAAGTGCCTGTGCTGCAGTCTCGGCCATGACGAGAACGAGGCATTGGCAAAGTTCGGGTTTGGGTTTAGGGTTTGAGGTTTAGGGTTTAGGGTTTAGGGTTTAGGGTTTAGGGTTTGAGGTTTAGGGTTTAGGGTTTAGGGTTTAGGGTTGAGTTTTAAAGTCTTGAGAGTGGTTTCAACCCCTGGACCCTTAAAAAGCTTAGTAATCTTTGTCATAGTCGGGTAACATTAACTCCAGCATATGGTGTTGCTTTGCTACACCGCATGGCAAAAGTCCAGCCGGCGAAGGTGCTCGGCAAAGGTACTCACAGCACATTTTGTGGGGCTAGGTTGTTGACTTCTTTGGATGTCGCTGCATGGGTCTGAATCACCTGCGTGCCCTGGAAGCTGTACTTGTATGGTCTTGTTTAGACAATCTCTTTTCATGACTCGAGATGTACTTTGCGGAAGAGATCTCTCCTTAAGTACAAGTTGTGCTGCCCTGCATTGCGACTGCAAGGGCTAAGCCGATGGCAACCACCATCTCTGCAACATGCCCTCCACAGGCTACACAGCCCTAACCCCTAAACGCTAGACCAGGATGGGCTACTGTACTTCACAGTCCCCTAGAAATTGCTCTTCTAGGGTTGATTTATGATACTTTACAGTCCCCTAAAAAGTTGCTCTTCTAGGGTTGAAAAACGAATTTGAAGACCTCATATCCCATCCCTGAACACCTGGACAGGCCCGGCTTTGTGACCGAAGAGTTGTGCTGGACTGTGAAGGTTTAGGGTTTAAGGGTTTAAGGGTTCAAGGGTTTAAGGGTTTAAGGGTTTCAGGGTTTAAGGGTTTAAGGGTTTAAGGGTTTAAGGGTTTAAGGGTTTAAGGTTTAAGGGTTTAAGGGTTTAAGGGTTTAAGGTGAAGTGTCGAGGTTACCTTCAGAATCCCGAACGAAATTCTTGACAGGCTGCGCACAAGGTCTAGTGTATTCTTGAGGAAGGGCTCAACACTTCCTTAATTTCGGTTCTTTCAAGCGGGGTTTATAGGTAAGCACCCCGCTGAGCACCAAGTAGGAGGCGTGAAGAGCAGGGAGAAGGTCATGCAGTGTCAGGCTCAGATGCAGGTGCTTGCGTTTTAACTGATCATCGCAATAGATGACTAAGGCCATTTTCTCCGAAACTTCAGCCCTTCCACCCCACCCTTCGAATGCCGTCATTTGACACTGCTTGCACACATCATGTCGCCCCACAAAAAGGATGCTAGCAAACCATTACCACGAGGATGCTCCTCACAGAGGTTGAGCCTTTTGCGGCCCCCTAAACCCTAAACCCTAAACCCTAAACCCTAAACCCTAAACCCTAAACCCTAAACCCTAAACCCTAAACCCCAAACAGGACTGCATCAGGACATGGTTCGGCTCGGTGTCTTCCTTTGAAACTTCTGCTCCTTGGTACTTATGGTTATTTCAGGGGGGAACTGGTCTTTCAGACTTGCGAAGCAAGAGGGCCAGCATCCCTCCAACTGGTGCATGCGTCATTTTCGCGCCCCCTACGACTCCAGTCCCAAGCTGGGTTGAGGTCGTGAAGGTATTTGCGGTGTTTCCCTTCTCCTTATGCAGCGCAAGTAGGGCGAGTACCACTGTCGACCTGGCATATACGAATACAACAGCAGCCCCCCTCTGAACTTCGAATGTCTAGGTTGTCTTTACAAACGCTATCTTACAAGAAGCCCCCCGATCCGGCTTGCTTCTATAGGATACCTAAGGGCCCAGGCTCGTAACGTAGAGGCCCCACCTACTCAAACTCAGTGGCGTTTGAATCCAGAGGTGCAGAGCATCGTGTCTGTCGCTCTTTCCCGTCGTCTTGGGATGCTTCCCTTCACGCGCCTGGCGATGCATCGCGAGGGAGGAGTCCCGAAACCTTTGAAACCCCAAGCACAATTAAGATCCTATTGTGACTTGGCCCTGGCGTGTTTGCCCTAGACCGTATAAAGCATCTATGCTTGCAAAGGCCGAATATGCAACATGTGCCTTTTCGAGCGATTCGGGTTTTGGCATTGCCGTTCACTTCCATCCCACCCCCCCAATCCATAATCCCCAATCCCTATTCCCTTCCCAAATTCAATGTATATCCCTAAACCCTAAACCCTTAACCCTTAACCCTTAACCCTAAACCGAAGCTTGTCACGTTTGAGGTACAGGTGGCTACTTCTCGCCGAGGCTCCATGCATTTGGGGTCACCTGGGCCGATCAAAGAAGATCCCTAGAGCGAAAGGCTTTGGGTTCTACCTTACAAAACCTACTTTGTACAAAACCCCTTTATAGGATTTCTTGCGCAGCCTACTTTTTTGGTAGGCTTTGGGTTCTTAACGTCGTTCTTCACATCATCGACTGGTGCATACGGAGTAGGCGGTTCAGGTTTTGACTTGCTTGAGGGTTCAGGGTTAAGGGTTGGAAAGGGAAGATCTCGCGTTCAAAGCAAGGGTTGAAGGGATTGGGGTTTCTCGCGTGTAGGGGAGCTCCGGCAGAAACCGCGGGAAGAAATGCCTGGTGAGCCTGCCGTGAGGCTCATGCATAGGAGGTGTCGCTTGCAGCCCAGGTCATTTCGACATGATCGCAGGGAGGCTGAGATATGGCGACTGCGACTGGGATCAAACCCTAAGTTTACCCAAAAAGCCCCCCCCCCCCCCCCCCCCCCCAAACTCCCACAGACCGACCTTCAGAACCCCAATCCTACTTTTTTCTGCAGATGATCTCCAAACAACCCCTTACCGGAGCTTGAGGTCTAGCCTACAAAAAAGGGTAAGTTTGGGGGTTCTTATGGTAGGCCCGAAGTCTGCTCCCTCGCTTGGAACCCAAAGCAGCCCAGCCAAAAAGTCCCGATCTCTGCACCAAAGCCGTGCCTTTCAGCACGCCAAGAACCCTAAATCTGAAACCCTAAACCCTAAACCCTAAACCCTAGACCCTACACCCAAAACCCAAAACCCCAAACCCTAAACCCTAAACCCTCAACCCTAAACCCTAACCCTAAACCCCAAACCCCAAATCTGCACGAACCTCTCCACCACCGCCCAGACTACTGGGCCTCTGTCGTCGCGATCATCGCCCTGGCGTGGTGGTTGGCAGCAGGGCCGACGTTGTCAGCTGGCGCGCAAAAACAGAGGGTTTAGGCCCTAAACCCTAAACCCTAAGCCCGAAACCCTAAACCCTAAACCCGAAAACCCTAAAGCAACCGAACCCTCAGAGCGTCTTGGGGGCAACCATAGAGAAGCCCAGAAGCCTGCTTTGTGTAGGTCTCCTAACAAGCCTGTAAGGGGTTTTTGAAGTAATAGCCACTGCAAAGCTGCTTTACTGCAGGGCTTGGGCTGGCAAAGCAAGAGAACCTGTCCGAAACCCTAAACCCTAAACCCTAAACCCTAAACCCTAAACCCTAAACCCTAAACCCTAAACCCTAAACCCTAAACCCTAAACCCTACAGCACAGGTTTGCCCTGCCTGCCCTTGTCGCAGATGGCTTGCTCCGGAAAGGAGACCTCTCCTGGCCGATGCCTTGGAGAACTCTTGACTTTAAAACGCGTTTAGGGTTTAGGTAGGCTTTAGGGCTACGACTTAGTAGTAGAGTAGGTGGCCTTATAGCCTTTTCGGGGGGACTAGTTTTCCCTAGAAGACTGGATAACTAGGTTGGAGCTTATGGCATTTCAGGAGGCGTGAGCTGAAAGAAGATCCCTTCAGGCTTTCAGACTTTAAAACCCTAAACCCTAAACCCGAAACCGGTTCCAGGACACGGATTTCAGTCAAGGCCATGCAGCCCCAAGTGTTGTATGAACCAGTGAACTTGACCCTTCTCTCCAGGTAACCCTAAACCCTAAACCCTAAACCCTAAACCCTAAACCCTAAACCCTAAACCCTAAACCCTAAACCCTAAACCCTAAACCCTAAACTTACCTGGAGAGGAGGAGCCTGTAACCCACGGAAGCCCTGAGTAGCGGAGCTGTGTTTGGAGCTGGGACATGCTTGAACCCTAAACCCTAAACCCTAAACCCTCAACCCTAAACCCTAAACCCTAAACCCCAAACCCTTAACCCTAAACCCTAATCCTAGGGATGATTGTGGGGTTTAGAGAAGCTGCCGAGGCGCGACATCGGCATCACGCTGTGCGGCTCCTCATTGCTGGTGATGGTCTCCGTGGCGACAGTGGCCTTCCAATATGTGCCGGAGCCTGCAGACAGAAAAACCCCTCTTTCTCGGGCGTTGCAATGTGTCCGCGCGCACAAGTTAGTAGATATAATTTGCTTTAAACAGGAAACCCCGTATGTTGCTTTATTGTATATATATGTGTGTATATATATATATGAAATGGTTCTATGTGTTTGCTTATGTTTGTTTACTTATGTGATTGTGTTTGTATGCGTACATATACATACCATGCCCATGAAAAAATACATCCACAAGCCCCGAAGTGCCTTGAACTTTCCGGATTTAGGGTTTAGGGTTTAGGGTTTCAACCCTAAGCCCTAAATCAAGACCTTTGAGGGGCACTCGACTTTGGGAGATGTCTGGGCTTAGGCCATGCATAGCCTGTAATAACCTAAGGCTCGAAATCCCTAAACCCTAAACCCTAAACTTGGGGTACAGGCCTGCATTCCGGCGTAAAAGAGTACATCGCCCTACATAGCCCTGTCATGGCATCGTTCTGGTCTTACAAGAAGCCTCTGTTGCGGTATGGCGGGACCTAGCCTTGGGGACCCAAATGAACCCCAAAACTGGAGTCAGATTCCCTAATATGAACCATAAACCCCCTAAACCCTAAACCCTACAACCCAAGCCCGAAACCCTAAGCCCTAAGCCCTAAACCCTAAACCCTTTCGGGGTTCCTTCAGTATCTGGCCGAGGTGTGCGTTCAGTGTTTTCCCAGCCCGTTGCTGGGCGCCTTGTGCTTCGCTACAACCGTCCTGATGGTAGCGCTCTGTGACGCGACACTGAAAGGGCGGGGGGGGGGGGGGGGGTTAGGGTTTAGGGTTTAGAGTTTAAGGTTTAGAGCTTAGGGTTTCGGGTTTAGGGTTCTGGGATGCCCAGAGGGAGTGCGGTTCGGGCTCAGGGATTCTCAGGGGAAGGGACGCTTTGGAGTGAAGTATGTGGAAGAAGTAAGGTTTTGCGTGATCAGTTCCAGAGGGCATGCAGCTTTCAAGGCCCTAAACCCTGAACCCTAAACCCTAAACCCTATACAAACCCTAAACCCCATACAAACCCTATACAAACCCTAAACCGAAACCGTGGGATTGATTTGAACGATTCTTGCAAATCTGCACGAACTTGAGGTGTCTGGTGCCCCCGATCGAAAAAGGCGCCTGAGTCGGACGAGGAGACGACGGAAAGTGAGGAGTCTTGTGACACCTAGACCCGACGTACCGGTTCGGAGAATTTTCTCAGGGGTTTAGGGATTGGGGTTTAGGCTTTAGGGTTTAGGGCTACGTAGAGTTGATTGTAAGGTTTTCACCACCTGATGTGCGGGCACATCAGGTGGCCGAGTGGGCTTATGGCCGTCAGGTTTTCTGGGTTGGGGTTCCGGGTAGCGTCAAATGTACAGTTTGGGTTGGATAACGCTCTTTCATGAGCTTCGGCATGAGCCACTTACCGAAAACGGGTTCAGGGGACATTTCCTACGAAGGGTTTGGGTGAGCTTCTGCTTTCCTGAGGGCCACGGTCTTCCTGGCCCATGCCTTTAGGTTTTGTGCTGCCCTCACGCAGTGGTAGGCTTGTTCCATGAGGAACACCATCTTTGCGTTGTCGGCTGGCGAAGGGTTCACCAAACAATGCCCAAAGATGGGCGGCCATTTTCGGCCACTGCATGCGCATGTAGGGAGGGTCATGAGCCCGAGGTCAAGTCCGGAAGGAAGCAATCCCGAATCTTTAGGCCCCAAAGTCCTACAGGAGTGGTGTGTGTGAGGCGTCAGCTAGGCGGGTCACAAACAACAGCCAAAAACCCACAGACCCTAAGCCCTAAAAACCCCTCCGCAAAAATCGACTCGATACCATGTCGGGCATCCAAAGTGTGGCTCTGTCTAACGCAGCATCGTGTTGTAAAAGGCTGAAACCCGAAGCCCTAGAATCCTGCATCCCTAGTTTAGGGTTCAGGGTTCAGGGTTCAGGGTTCAGGGTTCAGGGTTTAGGGTTTGGGATGTAGGGTTTAGGGTTGGAACCCCAGAAACCTAAAACCCTGAACCCTGTAGGTTTTTTTGTTTTTTTTTTTCGGGTTTTAGGGTTTTTAGTGTTTTTAGTGTTTTCAGGCTTTTTAGGGTTTTTAGGGTTTTTAGGGTTTTTAGGGTTTTTAGGGAAAAAAACAAGTGTCTTTAGGGTTTTAAGGGATTTTTGGGATTTTAGGGCTTTTAGGGTTTTTAGGGTTTTTAGGGTTTAGGGTTTAGTTACGTAGGTCTTAGGGCCCTTTGTTTGTGGGAAAGGGGCTCAGGGCTTAGGGCTCTTTGGGGCTTGGGGCGTTTTAGGGCTGAGGGTTTAGGGTTTAGGGTTTTTGGGTATCGAGGCGGGCGAAGTCTCTTGGAAAAAAGGGTTTTAGGGATTAGGGCTTTTGGTTTGCTATGGTTTTGTGAAGCCACGGAAGTATGAAGCGGCCGGTCAGGCGAGCTCTTTTCTACATGCGCTGTATTCTGGTGTGCAGAGCTTGCGGATGAGGATTCCGTGCGCCAAGCGCACGAATCTCCGTAAGTGCCGTTGCCAACACTTTGTTGCGCAATCAGCGGTCCCGGGTGTTCTTGGGGTCCGAATTGCAGGTTGAGGGTTTAGGGTTTAGGGTTTAGGGTTTAGGGTTTCGGGCCAAGGCAAGGCCGAAGCACCTTGACCCCAAGGCCTAGTATATGGGCTAAATGGGGTCGAGGCAAAGGTTCTGGTCTTGGCCGCTCTGGAAAAGTCTCTGGGGCTCTCCGACAAGCTTCCGAAAGAGAATTGGTTTAGGGTGTAGGTTTAGGGTTTAGGGTTTAGGGTTTAGGGTTTAGGGTTTAGGGTTTAGGGTTTAGGGTCTGGGAAGCAGAGGACGGGCTTCAGACCGTTTGATGTTCCAGAGCTGTCGGTGGCAAAAAAAGCGATCTTACTTCCGGGGGAGTGCCTTCGACGTGGAACTCCCCTAAACCCTAAACCCTATAAGCCCTAAGCCCTAAACCCCACCCACTTGACCATTGTCCCCCCTTTGGAGCCAACAGAGGATCACATGCCCCCAAGGTTCGATGAAAAAGGGTTTGGGGTTGAACCAGCCCTTAAAGCCCTTTTGGGGCACATGTGGTGCCAAGGGGTCAGTCTGCCCCTGCCCGGTGAAAATTGGCGTGCGCGCCCCTGATCCGAAGCCCTAGAGGTAGGTAGACAGCGTGACCCCGTGTCGACCCACCAAACGTTCAGGTAACCTTCGGTTCTATGGTGTAGGGTGTTAGGAATTGGGTTTAGTCAGCCAGAAATCAGGTTCGCTGGGAACAAAGCGAGTAGTTCGGGGTAGATGAGCGGTGTTTTCGGAAATGCACATAATGCAAAGCCTCTCACGCGAACGACTGTCTTTTCATGCAAGCATCACCCTGATACCCTAAACCCTGTCATCCCAAAACGCCAAATAATCCCTAAACCGAATGTAGGGTTATGGGAATGAGGACCCAAAAGACACGCCAAAACACTGTCCCTAGACCCTAAACCCTACAATCCTTCTTGTGGGTAGGGTACGCCCCCCCCGCCCCCCCCACCCCCCCCCCCCCCCCCCCCCCCCGCCCCCCCCCCCCCCCCCCCCCCCCCCCACCCCCCCCCCCCCACCCCCCCCCCCCCCCCCCCCCCCCCCCCCCCCCCCCACCCCCCCCCCCCCCCCCAAAAAACATCAAACAGAGTAGCCACATTTTTTCGGCACCTCCAGCAAGGCCCCCCCCCCCTCCCCCTCCCTAAGGCCAGCAGCCGGTGAAGACGAACAACTTCCTTGATAGGGGGGTCGTGGAGTGGTGCTTTGAAAAGGTTCAAGTGGTGGGTTTGGGTTCAGGGTTGGTTCAGGGTTTAGAGTTTCGGGTGTAGGGTTTAAGGTTCAGGGTCCCAGAATACTCAAAACGATGATGAACCTAAAAGGAAGGAGGGTTTCAAAAGCAGCGTGGTAAGCCGCAGAGAAGCGGTTTTGTTTGGAGGCTGAATGTGCGCACGACGCCGCCGGAGCGATAGCCTCAGCTGCAGAAGCGCTTTTGAATATCCTATATGAATATGTGGTCACTGTCAAGGGTTTAGGGTTTAGGGTTCAGGGTTTAGGGTTTAGGGTTTAGGGTTGGGCTACGCATTATCATAGGATTTCCCAGAAAAGATGACAGCAGAAGTTAGAACCCCCCACCCCCTGCATTCTCCGAGAAAAGTCAGAGAATAAGCACTGGGTTTCGGTGCCCGAATAATTTGCAGCCCCGGCACCGTGCCCCGTAGCTACACAGCTTTGGCACTGAAACTTCAAACGCGGCAAAAGCGCAGTGCCGTCTTTTCTGTTAAGCCCTACAAAGGCCGGTGGCCTCTTTATCTGTGACCCTATACCCTAATATAGCCCCTAGATGCCCCGACAAGAGCCCCGAATAGATGCCCCTATAAAGCAGATAGCCTACTTAAGACGCCACCAACCCACCTAGTCAGAGCCTACATCCGAAACTCTACAGAAGAAATCGTAGCAGAGGCGGCATGACTAGGGCCACTGCACGCCGAGGTGGGTGGCAGCTACAGCTGGGCACTCAGGGGGTAGGCAGTTCTCGAAGTCCGAACTCAACCTATATGCCCCCTAAACCCTAAACCCTAAACCCTACACCCCAAACCCTAAACCCTAAACCCCCAAGTAACCGGGGCCCAAGTAAACGGGGCCATTCTACCCTACTACCCAGGGAACTCAAGGAGGACAAAAGGTGCAAATGATTCAGAGAATTGCGGGCTCTAGGCCTAGGACGTCTGGGGTTGTCAGTTGAGCTCTTTACCTGCCAAACCTCCAGATTTCTGTGCACGTCAGAGATTTCTTAACAAGAGCTTCAGTGACTTAGGGTTTAGGGTTTAAGGTTTAGGGTTGCTTGTTGATGTTGTGGGTTTGCCCAGCGTTCAATAAGGATTCGCCCACCTGGCACGTCTATCCCGACCCCTGCGACTGCAGAGCACGGTGTGGTGCCTAACCCTAAACCCCAAACCGCGCGCGCCCCCCGCCCAGAAGTTATGGCTTAACTTATAAAAGCTCACGTCGCGCTCCCCAAAAGGTCACGGCAACACCCGGAAACCCTGAAGACGCTAAGCCCCGGAACCCGAAAACCACAGACGAACCCCAAACCCCAAACCCCTAAACCCCTAAACCCCTAAACCCCTAAACTCCTAAACTCTAAACCCTAAACCCCTAACCCTAAACCCTAAACCCTAATTAAACCCTAAACCCTATAAACCCTAAACCCTAAACAGGCACCGCCTTGGAGCGCCAGAGCCGGTCACCAAGCTGTGGCGCGAATCTCAGCTTGCCTTGGTAGTCCAGTGGTGCCCTGCACCCTTTTTTGGGGGGTTTAGGGTTTAGTGTTTAGGGTTTGGGGTTTGGGGTTTGGGGTTTGGGGTTTAGGGTTTAGGGTCCAGTGGTTCCCTGAAAAAGTATCAAACCAAAAAGATGGTGCCCTTGTTATTATATGTTTACTGGGCTACTAAGGTACCCATGTGGAGTCCTCTTGGAAACTTGCAAAACCCAAAAAAGGGTGCCCTTATTATAGTATGGTTCGTGGGAATCTCAGCTTGCGTAGGCATTGTTGGGGGTGTTAGGGGTTTAGGGGTATTCGGGTTTACGAGTATCAGCACTAGGTTTTGGGGCTTAGGTTTTCTTAAGTTTTCGAGGTAGTATGTCTTTAGGAGTAATAATGTTTTTAGGGTCAGGGTTCTAGTTTAAGCCGTGGGGGCCTGCGGCTGATCTACCCGAGTCTGCCAGAGAGAGAGAGAGAGTTTGTTTTTGGTTTGGGTGTTCGGGGTAGTTGGCTAGGGATCTTCGGTTTTTTTTGGGGGGACTTACGTGGTGTTCGTTCTTTTCTTGTGCGCGTGTATCTGGGCCGAAGTAGTATTCCACACAGGCATCATGCAGAGAGCTGCCAGCATGACTCCTCTAGCCAGGCTCTCTGCTAAGCTGCTAGCCATGTTGAGGAATTCATAAACCACCCTTTAATTCTTCTGGCGTGTAGTTTCATGTATCAGGGAATCTTGACAACCATCCGTGGAAACTTCAAAAAACCAAAACCATGTCTTATGCCAAACTTGGCCGAAGCCTCAAGTGCCCAGTTCGATGTGGCCAGCAATGCCCGGGACCCAGAGGGTGGAATGCCGCAGGGTTTAGGGTTTAGGGTTTAGGGTTTAGGGTTTAGGGTTCAGGGTGGAGAGATTGAT